ACACACACACACACACACACACACACACACACACACACACACACACACAGTACCTGATCAAATTCTTTACTGAGGCCAAAGTCTGTGAGAACTATATGACCGCTTGAATCCAGCAGAACATTCTCAAGTTTCAGGTCCCGGTAGACAATCCCAAGCTGCAAACAGAAAGCGACAGCGGGGCAGTGAAACACAAAGCATGTGCACATCAATAGATGACGTGTTGGATGTGTTGAATCTGGGGGTTACCTTGTGTAGATGTTCTAGCGCCGACACAATCTCTCCACTGTACAAAGCAACTTCTAGCTCCTTAAATCGCACATTTTGCACCAAATGTGTGAAGAGCTCCCCGCCATTTACATAATCTACAACAAAGGATATCATGCATGTCACGTTTCATCCAAAATAATATGCGGGTTAATTATTTTACAGGGAAGTGCAAATACTTCTTTTGAAATTCAGTTTACAAATTCATTCAGCTGGTGAAAACCCATTTTGGGTGAAAGACAATCAGTCTTTTAATTTTTCCTGTACAAGCATAGCACAGAAGGCAGTTTCCTATAAAACATCCTCACCGAGAATGAGGTGCAGCTTGGTATCTGTCTGGAAGGCGTAGTGAAGTGTGACGAGGAATGGCGACTGGCGAATGTGCTCCAGGACTTGCCGCTCGGTCCGTGTGTGTTCGGCAGTCTTTGCCTTTTGTACAATGGTGGCCTTCTTCAAAACCTTCATGGCATACAGCTTCCCAGCATCATGACCACTCACTTTCCTCACCAGGAACACCTTGCCATATGCTGGTGGTTCAAATAAACAAGGACAGACCATTAAAACACACACAATACTGGATGCCAGACTGGCATGCAAATTATCAACTAAATGTGACGTTCTGGTAAACACAGAGAGGGACTAAAGCTAAAATATTCACTCACCTCCTGTCCCGAGGACCTTTAATAGCTCAAAGTTTTCAATGCCCACCCTCTCTACGTGGCCTGTCAGGTTGGCTGAAGTCAGAGGAGAAACAAAATATTACAAGATAATGAGATGAACCACTCAATTCATATGAAAAAAAGAAGGATACGATACAAAAGAACATTAAATAACAAACATAATGTTACAGTATGTCACTGTAGATGGATTCATTATTGGGTTATTCCCTCACAGAAAATTATGTGAGAGGGGACATATTCACATCTGTACAAAATTACACAATATTAATGAGTAGTTGCAAGCAAAGAATAATAAAGAAATATTTCCATATTAAGTATTTTAGCATTCACTAAACCAAAACATTAAAGATATGAGTAGGTACAAGTAGTCAACGCAGATTGGATTATAAGTGAAGGGTCGGATTCATAAACAATACTGAAGTCTTTAGACCACCTCTAGTCCTGGTCCTCTACAGTATACAGCTGTTACAGCCAGCCTCTGGTCACAATCAGTGACGAAAGTCTATTGAATACTGTGACACAGCCAAGTTGTAAATACATTCGAAACGGATCAGCTGTTTTAAGCCGTTGTTGCCAAAAGCTGGACACCAATAGGCCCGTTAAATCACCTTACAGTCCTGTACTGTACTTTTTGTTTTGTAACCGGTGCCCGTGCTATAAATAATGTATTCTTCTATTTCCTTTTGATACAAAGAGACTCTCAGCCATGACGCTTTGAGGCAAATGAAGTCAAACTCTGCAAAGCAAAAAGGTTGCAGAGGTGAGCTTTAAACTGGAGGATCAGCGATTTAAAACACGGGACAAGTTAGGAAAGTCTGAGTGGTGGTAGAATAAATGCATAGCCAACAGTAACAGACTGAGTATGTTGCACAGGTGAATTTGTTTAACTGTAAAAATATGCAAATGCTGCAGAGACAACCCCGTGCATAATCAGTAAACTTCCTTCATGTAAACAAAGATCTAAAAAACAGTATGTGATCATCTTCCATGCAACTGCAGGCAAACTTGCAACATTAACGACTAAAAAAATTGTAATTATCTTCCATCAGCGATCTACAGCAAAGTCAGCACACACTGCGAGTGACTCCTGGCATCTTTCTAAATCATGGTTTCCTCGTACGGATGACTGAGCATAGCACGCTCTCAGACATGCATGTCCTTTGTAGTGAACACATCCATTCTGTCTCACGCTGTGAAAATAGGCTACTGAGCAATTAAAGCGGCTGATTTAATCCTTTTCCGCTGCTTCTCCCGTTATGCACGAGAAGAAATGCTGCAACCATTAGACACTTTGTGTTCATACTGTATCATTTCAAAACAACAACAACACTGTCCTTCAGATCTGAGGTCAAGGGTTTAGGTTGCATAACACACTTGTCAAGCTCATCTGCCAAGTACAAGTTTGATTTTGGTATTTATTAATAGACCGACAGAGGTGTCCAACCAGATGATTTCCTTACTGTTGGACAAGAGGTGTCTCTTCAGTCTACAGAATAGAAATGACACCTCAAAATAAAAAGCTTACCTTGAATAATGTATTTTGGTTTGTGTGATTGAACTTAAAAAACCCAACATCTAAAAGGCAACTCAATATATTTGTATTGTGCAAAAGCATCAACACAACTATGATTAATCAAACCATACAATTATGTCCCCTGTCATATATTTTTCCAATCAAAAATCCTATGATATGTAGCCGGAAGATTACGATAAATGAATGGGCTTAGTAGCTATCTTTTTTAACTTGCTGTATTGTCACAGGTAAGTCAAATGAGAGCAGGGTACACCAAAGCAGGGTTAAGTTGATCCAGCAGCTATGTATGCTGTGTAATTTGTAAAGAAACGAGAAAAAAACGAGTAACAACTAGACTGACTGCATATTTAGGGCAGGACAGTGAGTGGGGGTGCAGCATAGTCATGTTGCAGCCTGAACAGCAGCACTGTGTCATTATAAAGCAACTTAATTCAGCAGCCCTCTGCAGTCAAAACAACCACCTTCACTCATAACTAGTTAGGAAATGTAATATAACTTCCTGTTGATTCACTTAAGACACATGTTTTGAGATGCCAAAATAAAAGCCAGTAGGATTCAGCACAGCTGTCACATGTTTACCTGGAGCATGGTGTTGAAGAAATAAATCTATCTACCATCATTTCGAGAAGCAAAACTGCCTTGGTTGATGTGCACCTCTGCCCTCTTATGATTTGCAGAATGAAACCAAGCTAACATTTACTCTGCAGACTTGACAGCACTGCAGCTGACTGCTCTTCGTTGGCTGAGGAGAAGTTAGCTGTGACTGCTAACAGACCAGGCAAAAAAACTGCCAAAAGCCAACTAATATTAACGTTAGTAATTAACGTTAAGTAAAGGCGTTCACAGTGGCATAAACTGGCATGATGACATGCTTTATAGCAGAGTTACACGTCAACAATTAAGTTAGCTTTAGCTAATGTTATGTAGGTTACTTGGGTTTTGGCAGTTAGCTTAGCTAACATAAGTAAAACGTTTAGGTGACGTCAGTTTGCGTGAGATAGCAGTACGTTAGCCTAACGAGTAATAAGGACAGTCGGCTAACGTTAGCCTTTCTTGAGTAGCGTTAACGTTACTCACTATAAATGCCCGTTGACAGTGACAGTTGCCTCTCTTACAAGCTAGCCAGCTAGCGTTAACAATATTCCTGCGGGTGCACGTGTCGCCCGACAGATACATTAACGACCTCATCAAAAAGTTTAGCTCGCAGATAACTTACCATTTTTCAGCTCGTGTTTCACAGTAAAGAGGTCACCTTCTCTGGAAGATCCCTCCATCGGGGATGGCATCGTAATTTCCTGCTCCAGTTATGTTCAAAGATATGCGTCTCAGACAAGGTTACGTTCACTACTTTGCAATAATAATTTGCAACAAATTAATTAGCAAGTAAAGAGAGTTAAACGCCTGTTACTGAGGCGCCACATTTAACCAATATATGGGCAGAATGTGGCTGCTAAACCCAGCAGCAAGCAAGCCCAAAGGAAACACTTGCTTCTTCCAGTACACCGACACTACCTTCGCAACCAGACGATTCCTCTTCGCTGATTGGTGTTGCTATGTGAAGATCTGACCTCTGATTGGCTCGTTTCATGTTAGCGATAAATGGTCCCGCCCTACTCAATAGACTGGCGCTGACTTCACTTGTGTACATGCTCCTGTCAAAAGTCAGACATGCGACACATTTAAGTGCAATAATTGTGCATTAAATAAGAGTGATAGATAGATAGATAGATAGATAGATAGATAGATAGATAGATAGATAGATAGATACTTTATTAATCCGGCAAGGAGAGATTTGTTCGCTACAGCAGCATTATAAGCAATCAAAGTAACAGAGTAAAAATAAAAAAAGATTGAGTATAAAAATACACAATATATACAATAAAAATAACAGAGTAAAAAATATTAAAAGTAAAAAATGCACAATACATACAATGAAATAGAATAATATTAAATTAACTAACTAAACAGTAGAGCAAAGTTTAAATTAACTATCTAAACGGTAGTGCAAAGTTTAAATTAACTAACTAAACAGTAGAGCAAAGTTTAAATTAACTATCTAAACGGTAGTGCAAAGTTTAAATTAACTAACTAAACAGTAGATCAAAGTTTAAATTAACTAACTAAACAGTAGTGCAAAGTTTAAATGAACTAAATAAACAGTAGTGCAAAGTTTAAATTAACTAAATAAACGGTAGTGCAAAGTTAAATTAACTAGTGCAAAGTTTAAATTAACTAACTAAACAGTAGTGCGAAGATTTTTTAACCAACAACAAACAAACAACAGTGGTGAAAGAAGTAATCTTTTCAAAGTATAATACTACAGTGTAAAAAATACTTTGCTAAAAGTATGAATCCTGCATTCAAAAGCACACAATTAGTAAAAGTACCTCATTATATAAAAGGGGCCATTTCAGAATAATATATATCATATTATTGAATTATAATTATTGATGCATCAATGTGTACATGCTGCAGCTGGTAAAAGTCATAATTCATTGGTTAATTATATATTTTGTAGCCTATTAATAAATGATTATACAAATTAACTAATGCTATCAAATACATGTAGTCGAGTAACAAATACTTACAATACTCCAAAAAGTACTCTAGTAGAAGTATAAAATACCATGAAATGGAAATACTCAGTACAAGTAGCTGAAATTGTAAATTTCCGAAATACTAGGAATAGTATTGTAAATGTAACAGAATTGTGCTTCGGTGGGTTTATATTTAAAGTAGCTTACAAGTTGGAGAGTAACTAGTACTGAGATCAAGTACTGTACTTTAGTACAATTTTGAGGGACTTGTGCTTTAGTTATCTTATAAAATATTAGGCATAATCTGATAATATAACACTAATATCACACTTTCTACTACTTTTTTTAAGTAGTGTCTCAGTCCTTCCTCCACCACCATGCGAGCACTATTCGGTCAAGGAGACAACTTGACCATTAACCTTGGGGCGTGCACGTCTATAATAAAATGTAATGACCTGCTATTTTAATTTCCAGGTTAGAAACTGTAAAGTATTGGAGAAGAAACACCATATCAAGAAAATGATCAGTTCCTGTTATTTGAGGTAATAACATCTGAGGTACCAGAGAGTAGTTCATAGTCATAAATTGAAGTGGATTTAGTTATTTTCCTTTTTTGTTTGTTTTTTGCTGTTTCATTTTCCGTTAATGTTTTTGTGTGAGGCAACAGTGAGATGTGTTAATTTAGCAGATAGTTTCATAAGCTTTTGAGGAAAAAAAAAAAAGCTAAATAATGCAAAGTGTTGCTGACTAACCAGACTGAAGCTTTATCATCAATCTATAGTTATCCTTGTCCATCCTTAAACCTGGAGTAATCTTCTGGGACACTCAAAGATATCCCAAAGAGAGGTCAATGTAATGTAGTTCACCACTTTGTACACAGGGTGTCACCTTTGTATTGTATTCGATGGAGGGATCAGGAAGGAACTTTCACATTTTTTAGACATTCTATATATCTTTTTCTGTTTTTGGGAAATATTGGATAACCTCTTTGGGGATCAAGCTGAGTTTTAGAGGAGAAGTGTCTCTTTGGTAACAACACCTAGATATCTGAATCATGAAAAGGCCAAATTATTAGAAATGGATTTTTTGGAGTACACTCATGGGTTTGTGATACAATGATCTTCCTATTTTTAAAAATGTTGTGCAGTCAGTCTGCTTGTATTTGCCTTTTGCTTAATTTTGTATGTAAAGGAAAATGTCTGGAATCTCAACTGTGTGGCTGCAGAGACCTGCTGAATAAATATCTATATCTGTGAGAAACAACTTGCAGGTCAAAAAACTAAAACAGAAGATTCATTTTATACAAACCTAACAACACATATTTAAAATACAACTTTTTCCTTGCGCTTTATGGTTAAATGTTCTGGAACATAACTTACAGTAAACAACAGTTCAACACACCCAGAGGTAAACACGTAATTATTATTAAATATTACATAAGATAATTAAAACGAGATATTGCTGATAGCCCTACATTTTAAATATCTTTACAGTTTTGTTGTTGTTTTGTAATAAGATGGTCTGCCACTGTCAGTAATCACTCCCTGTCTCTCGTAAACTGATGGATAGTTAGGGGTTAGGACAGGGAGGTGTCAAGATATGTTAAAGATATGTTAAGTTAAAAGAAAAACAAACATCTTTCTAAAATGTGTGGCTTTCAAAATCTGCAAACTTACAAGAACAAACAGTTATTTTACAGTTTAACTGTTTTCTACCTCCGCCTTGTGGCAGTATGCTGCTATTGCTTTCATTTAAGTCTAATAATATTTTTTTACATTTCTGGTTTGCCACATGCACACATTTGTATTTTTTCTGCATATTTTTCCTAAAATAATTTGAATGACAAGGTGAAATTTCAAATAAATAATTTCCATTCGTCTTCCTTCAGGTATCTTGGGAAGTGGCGGAGTAGGAGGCGTTACTTAGTTCTGAAACGACCAATGAGCTGCGAGTTCCTCAGAGTGAGCCAATGGGATGCAGCTATTTTCACTGAACGCCAATCAGCTGCTGAGCTGACTGATCCGGTTTCCGGTAGTGGTACAAATTCGCCTATCTTGCTTTACTTTGACAGCAAGCTAAGCTAGCTTCACACCACTGCTGACTGACCTCCGCTTCCAACATGGCTGGTGTTCGAGCCCTTGGTGCACTTTCCAGATTCCCATCAAGGAGATACGCTCTCTTCACAGGTATAAACTAAAAGTATATAGTGTTTAAACATTAACGAAAACTAACGTGGAGAACGATACTAAAAACGTGATTTGCTGTGTGTCTTAGGTTGGTAATTAGCTTGTTAAACTAGCTCCAGAGCTGAATGGTGATTCGTTCACACAACATGATCGTTTTGGGGTTTTTTTCAGCAAACATATAACTCTATGAAAGATTAACCAAAAATATTAAGTGAAACTTTTATGTTTTAGCGAGCTAACTTTAAGCGTAAACGTATCACCGTTTGTGCTAGCTAACGTTAGCTGGCTGCTACAGAGTCCTTGATTTATAATTAAAGTTTTAAATCGGACTGTTTGCTTCCACTTTTGACTTGAAGAAGCCTGTCGAGACAGTTTAGACAGGGATATGTAAACTTGTGCCATTGATACGCCATTGTGATGGCTGTACTGTCTCTGAATGGAAGGCGGAGAATGTAGGTGAAGGGTCATTTCTTCCACTGGGTTACACAGCATGGCCGAGACAGTCTGGGGTCATGCCAATATTATGTGAATATACATATATTTCATATGTATGTTGTAGGAGGACAGGTTGTATTTAGGGCTCAATATGTTTTTGTTGTGTTAATATTACCATGAGGGTGAATCAGCTAGGAGATGTGCAGGAGGTTGGATGATGTCTGAAGTATGTTACACACATGTAATAATGTTTTGTTTCTGTTTTTTCGCTTTTAAACAGGTGGTACTTGTCGGACCTTCTCAGTAGCTCCTGCAATGCTAGGTAATTAAAAAAAACTAAAATCACATTTTTATAGTATATGGGTAAAAATAGGTCACCCTGTCTACTGACAATTATTTTCTCACTGTACACTATTTTCCTTTATCTATTTTTAGCTCGAACCCATGTGAACTATGAAGTCAAGGGCGACGTTGCCGTCGTACGGATGAACGACCCAAACTCCAAGGTGTGCTGCTCGTTAAACATAAATGTGATGGTGTACACCTCTGAATGGTGCCTCTGTGAAGTATGTGAACCTAATGGTCTTCTCTCCTTCTCCAGGTTAACACACTGTCGATCCAAATGCAAAGGGAGATGGCAGAAGTGATGGATGAAGTGTGGGCCAACGATGCTGTTAAAAGTGCTGTCCTCATCTCTTCAAAGCTGGGATGCTTCATAGCAGGAGCTGATATCAAGTAAGATAAATCTCATTAAATCCACTGCCTATTACATTTACTTCTTCTGTTATTTCTTGTAATCGATTTACTATGTAAATTGCACGTTTTTGTCTACCTACGACTTATATTTTGCATTAAGATCTTTTCTTATATTTTCCATGCCTTGTATTTTCTTTTGACGTGCTGAACATCTGTTACAGTATGATCCAGGCGTGTAAGAATGCAGAAGAGGTCACCACACTGTCACAGGAAGGGCAGAAGATGTTTGAGCGGATTGAAAAGTCACCGAAGCCCATTGTTGCTGCCATTAACGGCGCTTGCTTAGGAGGAGGCTTGGAGGTTATTACAAATGATTTCCGCAACCAACTATATGTTTGACTATATTGAAAATATTTGACTAGGATGATTGATCTTATCTAATGGGCTCTTTTTTTTGTATTTTAGTTTGCCATCGCCTGCCAGTACAGAATTGCAACAAAAAGTAAGAAAACAGTCCTTGGTACTCCTGAAGTGATGCTGGGTCTTCTACCTGGAGCCGGTGGTACTCAGAGACTCCCCAAAATGGTTAGTGCTGGAGTTACACTCCCCAACTTTCCTGTTTGAATCACTTGACTTTATGTAACT